TAACTATACAGACATATTACGTAGTTATAGCCAGTTTAATTCGGTCTTGATCTTAAAAATCAAGTTTTTTTAGAGAATTACGAACTAGACCATGGTTCGTAATCTGGTTCACGAACCAGTCTATTAAACATCTAACCTATAAACGATCAAGATTAAAGTTAGAATAAGGTTAGGGTAGGGCAATAAAAATGTTTTAAAATTTGTAAAAAAAGTTTTTGTTCGTGCCAGAGTGCAGAAAAAGAAAATAGTTTCACTACTTTGATTCAACGTTATACCTCACCCTACAACCTGATTGGTCGGTCAGAGTAATGATATAACTTTCTTACAATTATTATTATAATGATAGGGTTCAGAGTTCAGACTGGTCCTCAATTCTCGGTCCAAAAACTACTTGAAATAGTCAAAAGAATGGTCCGAATCAATCTTTTCGGGACCGTGTCTCTAGTGGAGACAAGGCACGTATTCATTTAAAACTGATTTGTAACACTATTTTATTATAAATAATTAACTATTATTAGAAATTGTTTATGTCGTTCAAAAAATATAATGATATGATAAACCAAGAAATATTACATCATTATTAGGTATACAAAATTTATTACATCATCACCATTAGGTATATAATGATTTTCGTTTCCGTCCATGCTTTCGCTTAAAGCGATCTGTTTTTCTACTTTAATTTTAATTAAAATAAATTCCTACATATATAATATTATTTACCACTTTACAAACTTATTTATAGAGACACAAAGTCATCTCATATTTTTTTTCCGTGACTTTTGGTTTATAAATACAGTTACTAAAATGTCTTCTGATTCAATACCAACGGTTCACGATCTCACGTATTATGTAAATATAATCAGGCGTTATTTGAACCCCCCATCTGCAACAGCGATTAACTCGGATGGCGAACAAACTAGCGATGAAAGACTACAATATGCTATAAAATATTATCGTGAAGCATACGAACTTTTTCCTAGTTCTTATGATATAAAGGTACGTATCCCAGACGCCGGAAATATATTCACAATTCTTTACTTAACATTGGGAGAAGTTTGTTGAGTCCATATTTCATTCTTTATAAAAACAATACTAAAGGATGCGATAATCTAAGTAAAAATTGGCACATATATTTCTTGTTTCTTTGATGAATTCAAAATATTTTATATAAGTCCATTTATCAGATTAAATTTAATAATTTCTAACTATCAATTTGGGTCCTTTATCAAACAGCTCTTAGGACATAGAATTGCAATCAAAGAAGGCAACATGACTCAAGCGACGATTCAATTTGATGAATTGTAAGTTTCTTTTCTGAAAAAGCAAACACTTTTGCTCCAATTTCTTATGTATCTACCTATTTATTTGCAAATAATTTTCATTAAACAATTGATTGTTCACCAATGCTGTAAAAAAATAAAAAAATAAAAAAATAAAAAATAAAAATAAATCGAAACCAAATAAACTTTAAAACCTAGACGTACGCTCCACTCTAATCATGAACCGTTAAAGGAATATCTTGTCGAGATAACGTATTCCGTACGCCATCGGACAATGGACGACAATTTCAGTGAGT